TATTACTATTATAGAGATCGTGAGCCCACGTCTGGCGTATAGTTGACCGCAGTTTGAATGTCTCGACACGACTCCATACAAACACTATTGAATTCAAATCCGGATTTCTTATACAATAATCCATTTTATTAATCCGGAAATTCATAACATTTTGGACATCACTTGCATATAACATGTTTTTGTGTTTCACAGCAGACTTATGGTGGTTATGACTGATACCGATATTACTGTCATTTTTAAGTAATACTTTTTTCTCAAGAATAAGTATTTTATTCAATTTTGAGTTTATATCCATTTGACCAGTAGTTAAAACGTCAATTAAATCCTTATCACTTATAACACTATTTTTAACTATTAATGTCTTATTAATAGTATTTGTCTGAAAGAATAATGTATAACTGAATATGAACACCAAATTAACAAATAATATTATAGTTAAAACTTGTTTAGATAGACACTTCATTTGAGAAATATTTTCTAAATTTTTGTAATTGCAAATTCAAAATTTGAAATTTTATTTTTTTTAAATAATTTTTTTGAATTTTTTTTGAAATATTATTTTTTTTTATTTCAAATACAAAATGCTTCAATGAATTGCCAAATCTATTCTACAGTATTTATAAACCAGTTTATTTCAAATTGAAATTTTCAATGCTAATACTGTACTAAATGACATGTTGTGTCGCGCGATCATTAACAGTAATTAAACCATTTTTATAATACTTTACTGCTTCACGTGCTAACCAATTGACTCGTTGCCAATGCTTATTTGACATCCGTAGTTTTCCCTTTTTGTTGCAGCGATTAGTGCATAGTGCATTCAAAATATACAGTGTAATGCCGCATGCAGTGTACACTTTAATGGCTGTTCACATTTACACTGAGGTTCAGTGAGGTTCAGTGTAAATATGAACAGCCATTAAAGTGTACACTGCATGCGGCATTACACTGTATATTTTGAATGCACTATGCACTAATCGCTGCAACAAAAAGGGAAAACTACGGATGTCAAATAAGCATTGTTCGTTGCCAACAATGTGCCTAATTTAGGCTAAAATCCGAAACCACTTAAACGCTCAAATGGCCTAATTTAGGCCATATCTGGTCAGCCAATGAGAATTGAGAGAAATTGATCAATTGTTTCACGCGCTGACTGCTGATTGTGACCATAAAAAGGGTACCCAGCAAATGTTGACGTACTTTATATTTACAATTAAAAGCCGTTAATAGTAATAGTAATAGTTAAATGCACTCATTGTTAGTCTCGTTCATAGAATCAGTGAATAGTAGTTGGAATAAAGCACTAATAAATTACGGCATTTATTATTCATTTAGTATTTTGATTGTCTGAACAATTAAATTAGTTTCTGGACACTGATTGGCTGTCAGTTCGGCCGTTGTATTTCAAATGACAACAATTGCGATCGATTACTACTGGGACTATGATTTCAACTTGAGCGCTTAGGAGCAAGTTAACGTGCTAAGGTTATAAGTTACGACTACTTTATATTCAGTGTTACGTGTTATTTGTATTTAATTAGTTTAGTATTCAATCAAATACATTGTCATAGTATCGGAACGGACTCACAAATGTTATCAATTTTCCACACATTTCAATACTAACCACACATTTAATGATTTATAGATTCAGATTTGAGTCATTCATCGATGATATGTTCATCGATGACATCGGTTTCTAGTGTCCACTTATTTTAAGTCTATTCCTATCAACTCTTATATAATTATTTATTAATTATGGGTTTGTTTTGGGAATTGTTTAAACATTTTAAGAATAAGAAAATAAGTTATCATATTTTATGCAAAATCATTTTC